TTAGCAATAGTTCTCCAACACTGTTTCCCAAGTTATATGTATATAAATACAGATGCTTTCTGATTTCTTTCAAAACCAGAACAGTCGCTCAGTAGGTTTGGACACCGCGTGACTGCCTGGAGCTCTGCAGTTCATATCTGAGAGAATGTACACACTTGTTCAGTCATTAATTTTCCCCTATTAAGGCTCAGCTTGAAATTCCAGTCAATAACAAAACAAAGCAGAACTGCAAACACTGCCATCAGCTCTGTCAGATTACCCACTGCACAAACATTTGAGCAGTGTCCCAAGGCACTTCGCCGTGAAGCTGTATGCAGTCAACTGCTCTGGTAAAATGCTCTGCATTAGGGAAGGTTATGGCTAACACCTGGCAAATGATGCAAAAAACAAGCTGAGAATGTGCCTCACAGTTCACACCAGGGTGCATAGAGGCCTGTCACAGCCAGCTGCAATTGCAGAGGGCACTTCACTACAGTAGAACATAAAACATAACCATGCAAAGAGCAAATGGGAAGTCGAGCTGCTTAATCCTTTCTCGTGCCAAATGCATATGCAGTAGGACATCACAAATCAGTAAAGATAGAGTTTACCTGAGCTTTCCTTTGCTCTTTCAGGTGCATGGGGAGCATCCACACACTTCTCACTGTTTTATAAAATTAAAGGAACAGTGACCTAATATCCCTAAACCATTTCGAGATGCCACATCAAACAGACTTGGAAAGAAGAGCGTTGCCTGCTGCCTCTCTGCAGGATCCAGATGTCCTTCTCTTGATCCTTAACTGAGCCTGCCCAGATTTATACAACCTGTGCAGACAGGTCTGGAGATCCAGCAGGCGCAGCACTGCTGATGCCAGAGTTCATAAATAATAGCATTATTACTTGTATAAAGTCTCTTAAGGCACCTGCATTTTTCATACAAACAATTAATAATCAATGAAGCATCTTAGAAGAGTCCTATCATCCATTTGCTCACTTAATCTGCAGTTTCTGAGTGTGGATCTGTCCTTGCTGGAGTAAGTGCACTGCGAGGGCTGTGGTGACAGGTTACTACTAGAAGAAGCCATCATCCCACAGAGCAAAGCAGTTCTGCTTTAGAAATCACTTTTCTGAGTGGAACCATCAAAGCAGGGAGGGAAGTATGGGCCAGCAGTGTTGGTAACAGTGATTTTATCATTTTGTTGGTGCTGACTGCTTGGTATTGGGAGCCCAGCTCGCCCTGGCCCAGCAGAGGGCAATCCCAGCAAACAGCTCAGGAAATCAGTGCTGGTGCTGGAGCTCAGTTCCCCTGGGAAAAGGAAAGGATAAACTACAACAGAGCCCCAGCCACTGGCTGCTTGCACCTCCCTGTCATTCTGCTGTGGGCACCATCCTAATGCGTGAGTGCTGGGTGAGAGCAGGGAGCAAGGAACAAGGGAGAATGGCCCTTTTCTACTCCTTTTGTGTCAGTTTGTGACCTTGGGAGCTCTGCCCCATTTTCAGGGGTTCCTTTCATGAACCCCTGAGGTTTTATGAGGGTTAGAATGCTTGTTGGGATCAAGACCTACTGGAAAGAAGAGCCTTGAAAAGCAGCTAGATTCTGCAGACATAGAGATATTGAAAAACTCATCCTGGTAGGACGGTAAGTTAAACCTTGCTAATGCCTTTCTTCCTGCACACCTACTTGTATGACTTCAAATCTTTTCCAAGCCTGCCTGGAAGAGTCTTCACAAATAAAAGGAAATCAGAACAGATTGTTATACTAACAATTGCTGCATGCTTACTTCCTCTCCCAGAAGAAGTGACTCACTTCTAAGGTTCTGAGTGCACTGAGTATACATTTCCAATGTGTGCTAGAATCAGCAAATGTTTATACCATAGAACATAATATCTAGTTGTAAGCTCTTTTTGTCTGTAATTCAAATAGAATGTATGAAAACTCCTGCTCATCTGTGTAGGTATTTGTTTGTTACTCTAGGCAGTCGATTAGCATGGAAAGGCAGAGATAGCACAAAAATAATGCAGTACCAAATCTCACTATATCACTTTTCTTTGTAGAAAAGTAAATTAATTGTACTTTGCAGTATAAATATACACAAGAAATAAGTGGGAAAAAAAACAAAACCTACCTATTTGAGGTTACCTTGCAAGAAGGCATCTGCTGTCCCCTCCATCAGCAGCGCTGCTCAGCGAATGACATACCACAGTAGACAAACCTGGTGGAGATAGAGTCATGGATGAATGCTGTAAAGTCTGCAGTCTCTTGGCCAGCCAAAGGTGATTAACAGCAACACAGACTTGTGTACTGCTCCTTAAAAGCTGTTACAGAAAGGCAGGCTGGGCAGAACAGAGATGATTCTAGGAAGCAGCTAAGTGGAGACATCCAGCATGCTGGACAAGGCTCTCCACTAATGTCATCACTAGAAGGAAGCAATTGCCTGTGGTGCCTTGCTATTGTTACACAGGCCATCATTTATCCCACAGCACCAATAGATTCAGGAGGGTATATTCAATTTCTTTAAGATATATCTTCTGATGTTTTGTGTCTGACTTACAACGGCAAGTTACGATTCACAAATCAGGGAAGAAGAGCAATTGCTAAATCCTTTACTCCATCTTAGAATAAAATCTACTAAAATTGAATTCTTCAAGCAATGATTCACCCCAACCACTTTATGAATATATATTAGTATTTGAAAATAAATTAATATATTAAAATGTATTTGATACCGTTTCCCAAAGCATTCCAGTAGATCATGTCTTACGCATGTTCTTCAATGTATAATCACTTCAACCATCTAAGAGATTAAACAATTACTTAAAAGTGATAGATGCTTTGCTGACTCATTCAGCAAGACTCGTTCACTCTGCAGTCAGCCTAATATAAGGTAGAGACTTATATCAGGTCATCAAGCCCATCTCATATACCCAGAAAGAAGGAATTAGTCACTGGCGGATATAGTTGATATCAGTTGACTATTGAATTGATCAGAAAGCCAAGAACATCAGCTTTCTACTAGAGACAATAGAAATCACTATGCTGCTAATATATTAATTGGACACAGGAGTCATAGACTGATAGAAAGGCTTAGGTTGGAAGAGACCTTAAAGATCACTTGAGAAGATACAGATCCTTACACACAAAGCAGAAGACATCAGTCCCAGTACTTCCTATCATCTTCTGTGGTCCATCGTAAGGCCTTGACCCACTTACTGGTTTATCTACTGGGGATGCTTACTAGAGCTGAGAGGGCGATCATTACACTTCAATTTCAAAAAATGGCTTCCTCTGATAGGTGCGTTTCCTCAAAATCCAGAGAAATTAGGCCTTCCAGTTCAGTTCAGCTGGGAACACATCCAATGGAGAGTATGAACAGCTCCTCTGTGTGGGCTCACCCTTCAGGACTGTCCCTGGTTGAGTAATGTCATGATTTGAGTGATCTGTACTGGAACAGAGGTAACTGACCTCAGGAAGGAAAGAGCCAAACATGATGGAGGTGGGCTGTACAATGCTTGCTCAAGGAAGGAGAGTGGAGACAACCAGGAATGGTCAACTTGAACGATTGCAGGAAAAAAGGAGGGGGAAAAAGGCATGTACGGAAACATTAGCTTTCCCACATAGACCAAAAAGTTCTAAGTTGGAAATAATTTTTTCAGGGGGGGGGGGAGGACAGGGACTTTGTGCAGAATAAGTCCAGTGCTTTGAATCAGATGGTAACCACCTTTTTGTTATGGCACTACCTCCTTCAAAGAATTGAACATCTCTTTTCATTTGAAGGAAATACACAGAGTACTTTATATTGCTGCTAAGCCTGGGAACAGTTACTGAAGTACGCTGGACAAAGCATTGGAAAATTTCAGCAGAAACCCGTGTTAATTTTATACAGTCAGATACCTAAAGTCTCTCCTACAAGCTGGCTAACTCCCTGTTTTCCACACAGGACCTACCAATGCATTGTGAATTGGGCTCAGTGCTGCATGGTTATGTTCTACCTTTGAGCTTGGTAATTCTCCTTCTCTGTAGGCTTGGCTTTAAAGAGAAGCACATCAGTGATTTTGAATTTTAGAGGTATAGAGCTCAACAAAGCCCAACCGTTTAATCATGAATTTCAGATCTCCCTGTCTAATCCCTATCTAATCAACGACAGAAGGAGTGAAGAAAACAAGTTACAATCAATCCACTCTGTCTCATAGCATGAGAAGTGGTCCTCAGAGTCCTATGATTTCCAAGATTCACTTAATTGACATTTGAGAAACTTAACAGCAACACTTACATATCACAGCTGTTCTATTGTGACATAAAAACAAATAGGCATTCCCAAGTACCACAGATGTTCTCTGGGGACGTTGTATAACAGAGTCAAGATACCTGCCTTCTGATCAGATGTTTCTCTTTCTTTTCTCCTTCATATATATAGCTGACACCAGTCTTCGGGCTGTGATAATTTACTTCCAGATCAAAAGTTAATCACAGGATCATGGATTCAACTCATACGTGGGCTTTTTGTCCTTCAGGCTCTTGCACCATGCTACTGTCTAAATTCTTTACAGCAGATTTAAAAATGTATCTTTTGAAATAAAAGAGAAAGTCTGGAACCTCCAAGAGTGAAATCAGCATTAGGAACTATCCGAAGCCACAGTTGTCTTAACACCAGAATCTTGGACTTTTTAGGAAAATTCATTTATTTTCCCCTTAGCCACCTGAACTCAGAATACTACTAAGAAAGAGGGAAAAAAAAAATAAAAAAATCAGTCATTCTTCCAGCATGACTTCTTACAGGCTTTGGTGTGCTAGTCCTGGATGAAATGTCTGCTTCATGAGACATATTCTGACTCTGATGAGATTCTTAACTCCATCCAGCCAAGGGCAGTACCCTGTAATGATAGGGTGTCTTGTCCTCTTCAGAACGCTGCAGGGATGGAGTATCGAGGGTTTTGAAAACATTTATATCCCTCCTGTGGTATCCTGTCAAGCTCATTCTTGCTAGAAACATTATGAATAATAACAGCATTGACCATATAATAGTAGTAAGTGCCTTTGAATTTGAGATTTATTTTGCTATTCATTAACTTTCCTGCTACATTAAAGTAGCAAAGACAGTATAACATCTTTCACCATTCTATTTGTTTCTTTTTTTAAACAGAATCAGCCAGATCGCAGTCTCATGGGAACATCAGTCTCATTGGAAATTCTTGTGTTGTTAACTCTTCATTGTAAGAGATATAAATACAGTGTGGAGCTCTGGGGAGTGCAGTGCAGAGATACTGGAGTTGCTTGACAAGAATTAGGCTGAATCCAGAAGATCTGTTAGGTATGACCATGTTCAGGCTGTACAAAGGAAAGAAAATGCTACCATGACTTTCCAGGTAACAGAAATTGAGGACAGGCAGATCAGAACATCTATCTTCAGTTTGCCAGGGTGTATCAGTGCATGCAAATTACATGGAAGATAAACGATGTTTTCTCTTGCTCTGCAGGTAGGCAGACCTGCCCAGGGACAAGGATCCATCTTACTGGCTGGTGGGAGGGGAAGGGCTTGGCTATGCTTCCATGGCTAGGGCTGCCCTGCTGCCTCAGAGACATACTCACACAGGGACACAAGAAATGCAGGATCACAGCCAAGCCGCCAGCTGTCTGTTCTAGCAGCAGCCAGAGCTGCTCTTTGGGGACCACATGTGAGCATGGCCACATTCTGCAGCCCATCCTCTCAATCTCCCCAGCATCCGTGCCTGTCAGCTATTAGATACTGCTCCAACAAGAAAACAAACCTTAAGTCCCCACCCCTAAATCCTAGGTTTTAAGCTTTTTGGTTACAAAATTACAGCCAGAATGAAGAGAGATCTTTGGCAAAGAAGTAGATTTAGAGTGATGCTGACATTGATGAGTCTTTATCATACACATCTGTGTGCATCAGAAAATATAAAGAATGAGAAAAAGTAAAAAGAAAAAGTCTATGAGAATCATTAATCAATGATAAGAAACAGAAAGATATAAGACAAATCAAAAAGCACAGAGTAATGACTTGCACTTTATCACTTAAGACTGGAATATCATTGAATAGAAAAAAAAAAAATCAAAGGAAAGGATTGTATCAGCACAGTTGATTCCCTCTGTCATAAGATATGAGCAGTAAATAAGGGCTGTTTGTGTGTCAGGAAAACAGAGCTGTTACACCCAGCCACCAGGCTGCCATGTGGGCAGCAGAAGTAACTCAGGATGTGCAGGTTTCAATGGTGGTTTGGTATCTAAGACAAAATTCCATAGTAATAATTATTCTGTATTTTCCATAGTGTAGTTATTGTCAGCTGAAAGACCAAATTGAAATGATGCATGGTCCAGAAAACTGGTGTTTCAAGAAAAGAATTTTAGTCAAAGCATTGCAAAGTTGTGCAAGGGAATTGAAATGAACAAAAAACATCAGAATACCTTAGAACAACTGTGAAGAAGTTTCCAACAAATGGATATTCTGGCTAGATGGCAGATTGCTAATAGAATTATACATTTCAGAGGCAGAACGGGACAAATGCGTTCCTTTTGTTTATGACTTCCTGCATAACATAACTACAAACTTTGGAATCAATTGCAGATGTAGGAAGTTAGGAAAGGAAGGTAAGTGACCAGCATGGTTGAACCAGAATCCTCTGGTCAAACTGACAAGCAAGAAAATGTACAGGCAGTAGAAGAAGGGACAGGTAACCTGAGAGGAGCATATGGATGCTTCTAGGCTGTGTAGGGATGGGGTCAGGAAGGCCAAAGCCCAACAGGAACTGGACTTGGCAAGGGGAACAAAAAATAAGAGCTTCTATATTTATATCAACTGGAAGGTATACCCTCCTCTCAAGTGTGCAACACAGACAGGCTAGTAACAATGGACAAGGAGAAGACAAGCATTCAACAACTTTTTTCCCCTCAGTCTTCACTGACAACTGCCCTATGCACAGCCCTTGAGCAAATGATTTGGAAGGTGGGAACTGAGGTAACAATATCTCTCCTGCTGTAAGTGACAATCAGGTTCATGACCACCTGAGAAACGTGTATGTCCATAAGTCTATGGGTCCCAATGAGATGCATTCCAGAGTCCTGAAGAAATTGGCTGATGTAGTCACCAAGACTACATCATAAAAAATCATGGCAGCCAGGTGAAGTCCTTGATGACTGGAAAAAAGACAGTGTCAAGAAGATTAAAAAGGATGACCCAGGTAACTATCAATCTGTCAGTCTCATCTCTATGCTGGGAAAGATCCTGAAAGCTACGCACCTTTACAACCTTGAACTTTCACACTTCTGATTACAGACATACTGACAGAATAGAAAGACAGAAAAAAGATGCACACATGAACACTATCCAGCATTTTCCAGAGTTGAAAGAAGAAAGCATAATGCAAGGAATGGTCCAAATGCTCTGTTTCTGGAATGCTTAACTAATGTCCTTATTATGCACATTTTTTTTCCATGGAATTTCTCTTTCTAAGACTCTGATAATATAGAAGAAGAAGGAAAAAAGATATAGATATTTTTAATTAACTTCTGTACTGAATTTCTAAGTAAAGTGGTAAACCTGTTCATTGTTTATTGTTATTTCCTTTCCCTACTCTTCAATATCCAGGCTTTTACTGCAAAGCTTGTGAAAGTTCACATGTAAAAGCAATTCCACATTAATAAACATCTATGCTTGGTATTATTGAAAGCAGGAGTTTTTTTTTTTTTTTTTTTAGAAAAATCATACCGTCTTAAAATGAAGTGATGAAGAAACCAGTACATTTCTAATGCATTACTTTGAACCATTGTTAAATGCCTTGTTAAATGAAGGATATATACAATGTCAAGTTGACATTGTTCATTTCAAATGTCTCCTTATTAGACAGTATCACCTGTTGGTAATAGGCATTTAGATTAAATGCCTTATTTACTGAAAAAATGAACCTTGTGCTGTGAGAAATCTTTGTCCTCTCCGTATAGTTAAAGACAGCAGCTGAGTCACAGTCATTTGACTATACAGTATAGCATTTCTAGTATGTTAACATTGCACGTTGTTGTATCTGATAACTTAACTGGCAGTGTTCAATTCCTTGAGATAATTTTTTTCATTTCGATTTTCCCTCATAGAAAAGTTCTTTTTGCCTCCTGTACAGACTTTTACTAAGGAAAAATGGTATAGATACTTTATTAGCGCATCTCTGTACCTTGTTTTTCAATGTCAGCTGACAGTGAAAATTGACTTTTGCCAAGAACATTATGGGTGATATTTCTCTGCCAGTCTGCAAGCATGGTCTTCCTACCTAGGCTATATGCTACAAGGACGTGATTAATACAAGTGGATTAAAATATTTATTCTGTATTTGTTTTATTTGTCTGGAAAATACCTAAAGCAATCAGAAAATAAAATCTGTCAGTGATAAGCCCTTATCTGGCAAGTCTAGCCCCCAGTATGACTTCTGGGAAGGAAGGCAATTGAGAGAGAGGGATTTGAATCTCAGAATACCCAAGGAAAAGCTTTCAAAAAGATGTATGAGAAACTGAAGGTCCACACTTGAATTACAAATTAAGAATGTAGTTCATAGCCCAGGATAGTTTAACTCTTCCGTTGTAAGGGAAGACCCAGTCATACAATCAATCATAGAATAGCTCAGGTTAGAAAAGACGTTATAGATCATCAAGTCCTACCACAACCTAACCATACTACCTTAACTCTAACAGCCTTCCATTAAATCATGTCCCTGAGCACCACATCCAAACAGTTTTTAAACACATCCAGGGATGGTGACTCAACTACGTCTCCGGGGAGCCTACTCCAGTGTTTCACCACCCTTTCCATAAAGAAGTTTTTCATTATATCCAACCTAAACCTCCCTCCCCTGGTGCAACTTGAGACCATTTCCCCTCATCCTGCCACCTGTCACCAGTGAGAAGAGACCAGCCACACTCTCGCTGTAAGCACCTTTAATATATTGGAAGAGAGCAATAAGGTCTCCCCTCAGCCTCCTCTTTCCCACAGTACACAGCCAGTTCCTTCAATCTTTACTCATAGGGCATATTCTACAAACCCTTCACCAGCCTTGTTGCCCTTCTTTGGAGCTGCTACAGCACCTCAATATCCTTTCTATACTGATGCATCCAAAACTAAATACAATACTTGAGGTGGGGCTTCACCATCACCAAGAACAGAGGCAGGATTACTTTCCTTGTCCTGCTCACCACACCATTCCTGATATTCCAGTCATATTAATGCTGTAAAGAAGCTCTTTATGGGAAAAAGTAGTAAATATTGACATGTATCTGAATGTCCCTGTTTGTGGATGCCTAGAAATTAACAGGACTAAACTTGCACTGCATGCAGGTTTCCCTACAGGAAAGTCCTTGTTTATGTAAATACCCAATTCTAACAATTTGCAAGCAGCTGCTAACCACAAGAGTTTTAAGTGCCGCAGTGCTATTTTGATTGCTAATCTCTGCTTTGTCCCTGCCTCTCTGTGGATGTGCTGTAAATTATTACAATTAGTTGTGACGGACAGCTTTAGAAAAGCATCCATTAACACTGCTATAGATTAGAGACCCTCCTAATGTCTATTAATAACCCTTGCAGGTGATGGCAGTGATGAAGGGGAGGGACACTATCATTTATCCACTGTGACTGGAAATTAAAGGAACTGGGTTCTGAATAGTTGCTCCTTTTCCCCCACTCCTTTTTTTCCTCTTTTCTGGACATAATACTGAGATGTGGAGTAAGACTGTCATGCTAAAATGGCTATGATAGACTCTTGCAATGTTTTGCAATACTAGTTTTTTTTTTCTTTTTTCTTTTTTTTTTTTTTAACGTAGCACTTTGCAGACATGGAGTTTCATATGTGCTCAAAGCAGATCTTTAGTACTTTCTTTCAAATGTTGAAAAAGTGCAAGTTAGACTTAAAAAGGTAACAGGAGGCTTATTATACAGTGGGTGGCAAGTGGGCAAATGGCAGAAGAAACAGCCTCTCTATGACCCTGCTGACCCCTGCAAGCTGCAGAAATCAATGGAATAATCAAACCAATTAAAGGATACCAAGGAGTTTAGGGAGGCTGAGAATGGAACTAAGGAATGCAGTCATTGATTTGTTGTCACAGAGCAATTCCAAATAATAGATTTATAATTCTATTGTTTGCCACATGGTTCTTTCTCTTCTATAAACCAACTAAATAGAAGCCCCTCTTCTGCTGCAGGTGTGTTATGCAGTTATCCTTGAGAAAGGTGCTTTTGTGCTCCTTGCTATTTAAAATTTGGACAATTCATTGAGACAAAAAAACAAATGAATGAAAATGGTTTATGGCTCAGTAGGTAAAAGCACAATTCTCACTGCATTTGTGGGATGTAGGAGATGTAAATGCTAAAAAAAACCTGAAAGTGCTCTTCCTGTTATCCTAACACTATATACCTTAGGCAGTAGTCTGTTGAAAGATGTTCCAGTCCTGAACGCACGAAGGTGAGCAGCAGACCCTACCTTTAGCATCAACACGTCACCTTTCTTCAGCTACCCTGGCCTACTGTCCTATCACAGGGCTCATTCTCTTACACATATCCAAAGAAGGTGTTTCCACTGTGAACCAGAGATAATATTCTGCAGCAAAGCAGGTGCAACATTTTCAGGACAACAGTACAAGGCCAAGTACTTGCCAAAGGTATGGGTCTAACATCCACTGCATTTTAGTCTCCTAAATGATGCTGTTACATAGACACATCTTGTGTCAAGAGTGTATCTACCTCAGTTTCATGGGCATTATAAGAGTAATACTCATTTTCTGCCAAGGTGTTCCAGACATTACACAACACAGCTGCATTTCATCTTAGTTTGCTTTAAAAATGTCTCTAGGTTTAGGAGAAGCAGCCAAATCCCATGCCTTAACACAGTGTTTCATAAAAATCTGTCTGAGCTGCTGGTGGAGATCCTGAAGTCTCTCAAAAACACATAGAAATTCTGTCTCAAAGCTCTAGGAAATGTTTAGAATTAATTTGTGTATGAATGATGGGAAGTTCTGAAAATGGTTTAGTTAATTTTCGCCAACACTTTAACAATAAAGCACGAATTACGTATTACTAGAAGCAGTCATTATACTCCAGTGCTTTTCTCTTTAGCAGAGAAACAGCTACTTTAGAATAGATAGCTGACAACTGGAAGAGAAGCAAGCACCCGAGCATGGAGCACTATACCACTTAGATGTACAGTCAGCTGAGATACGTTTCTTTAACCATGCGACTCCCCAGAAATCAGACATAAAATTCCAAAGCATTTTTCCTGACAAAATTCTTCTTAAGTAATTTATTTACCATTTAATGAAGTACAACCATTCATTGTTCCAATTTGTTGAACACAGTGAAACTGCACAGCTGATAGCAAGGCAGAAGCTAAGTGGCAATGTCATTATGTTGAATTTGGGAAGCAACCTGTTTGCATGGAAGACCTTCATTGTTCGATTCTGACTGTGGCATCAGGCTAAAGAGACTAGACAAGGAGGTTCTGAGCTTTGTATTTTGCAAAGTTTCTGTTCAGAAAATGCTAGCATAACAAAAGAGCTAACGTGGATGCCATGAACTGGATGGATCCACAGAGCCCGCATGCAGCAGTTACCATCCTGTTTGTAAAAAGACAAATATATTGGACCTTTCATAACATACAAGTGAACTAAAGAAAGTAAAATATCCCATATTCTCTAAAGATACAGAAAGCATTAAAGATGCCTCTTGAAAGTAAATACCTTGAAAAATGGGGTTATGTCTTGTTAAAACAGTTCAGGGTTACAACTTCATTCAGTGATACTATATAAAAATCAATAGGCATAGCATATTCCCAGGGATGAACTATTAACAACTTCCTATTATGTACTAATAATAGTATGCATTTTCTTCCAATTAAAATGGTAACAGCTGTTACTTTAAAACTATCTTGACAGAAGATGGGGTTCCATATTAGTTAATAATATTTTTCCATTTGCCTTTCACCCATTTATATGCTACCACTTAGAGCTGGTGGAGCATGACACTGCCAGATGCGCCCACAGAACAGCAAGGAGGACACAACACCAGCAATAGCTGTGCATCCACTCACTGGCTGCACTACGTGTCCAGGAGGATGGAGGGGAAGAAGGAGAGCAGCTGTTTGCTGCCCAGCAGAGCCTTATGGTGCAAAGCCTCAGATATAGCATCCTGCTCATTTGGAGGGCCTTTGTCAGGAGATGCTCCCTCAGGTGTAGTGCAAACTTTTAAAGATACAAATTCTTCATTGACAAAAGGATTTCAATCTTTTTTTTACATGTATTATTAAAATAATTACCCTGGGTGAGATTGTTAAATTCCGCCTTAGCACAGTACAAGACTTCTGAGAGAGCAGAAAACAGACACTTTCCCTTTCCCCCCCCAAAAGGGCTACATGATTGGCAAACATGCTAAATAAGACTGAGGGTTTTTTTTAAGCCAAAAGGTGATGTACAGTTGACTCACTTGTTATGTTTTCTTTTTCTTCTTGAGTATGCAATTGGCATCTGTTTTACATTAGAGATACATTTTGACCCTGTGTCCACACCTGTGTCTCAAAGCATGGCAGCAGCACCCAAATACTGTTTTCTTGATTTTGCACATTGGTTTGTTGTGTGCACCCAGCCAGGGGGATACCTGCTAGCAAATAAGCTAGGGAGCCATATACAGAGAAAGGGAGTAACAGACATTGCTACTTTAAAACAGTTTAGGATCACCCACAAAAAAGAGAGGTCACAATCTGGTAATAAAGGAGGAATTGCTTACCCCCCTTTCCAAGTATCAGAAGTCACCAAACACTCCAGTGGAGATGCTCTCCAAGAAAAGAATCATCTCTGGTGGTGGCCAGCCCTTAAATGAGGTTAGGGAGCCTGGCTCCAGCCCTTCTGGTCACACAAGTGAATTCCTTCCACCTGTGCTCCCAGGGCTGCTACCTCCCTTCACCAGGTGCTCAATCACTGGTCCAGGCCATGACTCAACAGTTCCCATACGCTATCTCATCACCTGCAGAGCTGTGCATTGCGTCTGCATGCAGTGCTCTTGGGAAGGAGCTAACTTCTCAAAGTAGTTAGAACTAAGTGATTTCTGAGGGCCTTCTAGCCCAAGCCATTCTATGACTCTAAGCTTTCTCCTTTCTCCCCAAAAGCCTCACGTGTTGCATGTGGCACAGCCCATGTGGAGGAGTGGATGGGGCACCTCACTGAGGCAGCTCCCAGCAGTGCAGCACTGGCTGGCTGCTGCAGGGATATAGAGGTGAGCAGCTGAAGCTTGGCAAACTGAATAGATGTGAAACAAGGCTTTTTTTTAAAGTAGGGAAAGCAACAAGCCATGGGCAAACTGAATAGATGTGAAATAAGGCTTTTTTTTAAAGTAGGGAAAGCAACAAGCCATGGGAACAAATCATTACAGATGAAGTGTCCTTGCTGCCACCACCTGAAAGTGTAAACAAATGTGAGGTTTATTTTGAAGTCTCTGCCCTGCTTCCTCCAGCTATTGTGAGTGTTAAGACTGGGTAGTGCAGTTACAATGATGTGGGGATCTTTGTCCTTTGAAATAGCCACAGTCACACACAGGGAAGCACAGCAGCCTCTTGTGGCCCTTACGGAATACTTATCTGTCAACACCATAACACCAGTGTGGGTACACAGGGCTGCCACTTGCTCATCCAATATCATTTTTCCTGACTTGTGCACATAACCACATCTGTGGCATCAGGAAGAGCAGCACAGCAGCAGCACAGGTGGGGACGAACAGTAGTGGGCCCAGACATCCACACTGCCCACAGCACCTGAACTGTGCACACAGGGGCTGCTTGGCTTCACCCAAAGGGGAGTCAGTTTGCATGTGCTCACGTTATGTGATAAGTGGTTTGCTTAAATATTGCTGATCAGAACCACAGTGATGATGTGGATATGTGCCTGCTAACATGGCATAAAACGGTCTTATCAAGGAGAACCTTTGCTTATTAATTACAGTGATCTTCTATGAGTCCTTAAGAGAGCAGGAAACCTCACACCTTGAAGTTCCTGGGCCAAGAATGTAACACCTTAATATGTAGTTGAGACTAACCAGTCTTGACAAGGTAGCAGGATCTGACTATTAAGAAGTGAGACATGTAATTTTGGATCTCAAGGACATATGGTTTAAGTCGCTTGTACAAAGAAAAATATTTACATCAGAAAAACTAAATGAAACATATGGAACATCATTTCTAACCTAAGAGAAAACAGTGCCTATTAGCAGTTCTTGTCTTCACTCTAGCAAGATTAATATTAGACTTCATTTATTTTCCAAATGACATTATTATTCAGTAAATAGAATATGGAGCCAAGGAACAAAAATGGTTCAGTTCTTGGCAAACTTTTTTCTCATCTTGCTCAATAATCACAATTATAATGATTTTATTCATAGTCACATTAAATTTTTCCCTATGGTAAAATTAGAGGCAAAGGGAAGTGAATGATCTGTTCCCTAAATGTGAAACTAAAAGCAATACATCTTGCTCCAACATTAAACAACCGTATTTATGCTCCAGATAGCCAACGACTGAATCAAAAATGACTATTCTGATGAACCCTGGCATTCAGCTCTTCCTTTTCTCCTTGTTTAATAGCAGAACAAAATGTCAATCTAATAAATTAAAACATCAAGGTCTATATGTACGAAGAACCCAGAATGTCAGAAAGATTGCTACTAAATTGCTATATACAAAGTCATCAATGTCATCTGAGAAATCAGGATCCGAGAATCAAATATGACACTGAACAGACAGATATGTGCCCTGTTTTATTCAAAACAGGGCCATCATCTCTTTATATTTGTACCAGAATGAGGGGGACAAGATTTAAGACTATGATGAACTTGTGCTTAATCAGACACACAAGTGAAAGCACTTGGAGCTTGAGGTTAGCAAGAAAATTGTAAACAGAGAAACTGAAAGCTAACCATCAGTTCACTATTGCCTGGTGAAAGGTCTAGTGTGCAGTACCAGGTCATGGTTGGACTCGATGATCTTTAAGGTCTTTCCAATCTGAGTGATTCTATGATTCTATGAATCTATGATTCTATGATCTCTGGATAAATTTTTGACACTGTGACTCAAATCTGGAAAATTGGAGCTAAGATAGGCTGCAATGACTCAGATAAAAATCCTGGAACCTTGGAAGATGTGTGACTGATGTTCTGAGAGATGAGTGAGTGATGCATTGATGTAAAATTGCAGCAATTGTTTTATATTTGCTCGGCATTAGTTGAGGGTCATTCTTCTGGGTTTATACCTGTCACCTACAGCAGACTCAGGAAATTTCAGGGAAGAAAACGTAATAAATCTGCTAAGCTTTTATGAATGTTAAAGATTCTGTAATGACAGTGACAGCATTTACCTGAGGAATGTGAATTATTCTGGAGAAATGTTCACATGGAATTTATGGTTATTATGTTCAGCAACTCACCAAACCTAAAACATGTATGATTGCACTTGAATAATATCTATTGCTTTAATCAGTGCTATGCCATGTTCTAGGCAAAGCTCGTGGAGAAGGAATGCCCCATCAGTATTATGAAATAAACATTAGTTATTTACATATAACTAATGTGGTACACAGCAAGAGGATGTGTAGCACTACTTCCTCTAGTACAGTTATAAAGGAAGGAGTCTACTGGAGACCAAAGCAATATAGCTAGATGTGCTACACTGTGTTTGTCTCACCAATACTACACCTACTACAATAGGTTGAATTTTCCACTCCAACTTTTGTCAATGAAGTCCTTTTTGGGATTATTTTTTGTAAGACTGGGAAAACTGATGCTCATTGCCTGGAGTGGTGAGACAGGCAAAATCACTGAGATGGCACAGAGGTTCCGTCTCGCCACCCTACACTTGTGTCAGTGCCTGCACTTGACAAAAGCAGCTCCTACAGTGTAGATCTGAGAAACCTAGTTGTTCTGAAATGTGTGAGGCCAGGAAAAACACACTTAACCTATAGCAGCTGAAATGCCATAGGTAGGCCAAAGGAAATCAGAGACCAAAACCATCAAAACCTGCTAGATTCTGAACAGTACTGAAAAATTAATCATTTGGTTACTCATTACTCTGCTGCCTGAAAATAAACATAAGTAAATAGTGACATCTATTTCTTTTTTCATTTGTCTGTTTTGTTTTCAGCTGACGAAACTTCAGGAATCCATGTCTGTCTAGTTTATGCTGAATTACTTGCTTTTTAGTTCCAGTGGCTGAAGGAATGTGAGCAATATTGAAGCCACATTCCCAAAAATAGAGGAGTTAGTCTTCTACTTCAACAAATAACATGGAGAAGCAGTATGTTTAAAAGAAATAAAAGGACTTAACTTATTTTCATGCTTCTGTATGCATATGTATGAGGAGAATCTAAGAGTTTATTTATACCTGGCATGACTGTAGAACACCAGATATTTGAATGGAAAGATATGTCCTCTTTCCATGCCATGAATTTACCTCTTGAGCTATGAGTGGAAGAACATTAAGATTTACAGAGTTATTATAACTGACAGCTTAAATTTCATAGGGATATGCATTTTAATTGATAACCATAAAGACAGTGCAGTAAAGGTTATCTTACAACTATATTTGGAAATCGTTTTCATAACATCACTTAATTCCTCTAGAAGTAATCTCTAACAAAAGAAACTCTTTGCTGATACTATTAAGTAGACTTTATCTGAAAGTGACCCTATTTTGTCTTTCTGTGTCCTTATCTTTCATGTGATCCAGCAAGAATGGGAACTCAATTACTTCCCAGAGGTCCTTTTATATCATATAACTGGGATGAATTTTCTATCCCCAGATTGACTAGCCCAAGCATATTGCCCTTGCTAGAACAAACTGAACTCAAACTGAAACCCTGCTCTAACAAAAGTGGGTATGTAATGATGTCCTTCAGCAGTTGACTGCAAAGAATTTTAACAGAACGCTGATATCTTTTTTTCCTGCTTTTGGAAACCTTTTGTGGCAGAGGTGCATTGACAGTGAAAAAAACCAAAACAATATTGTACTGTCACTTATCACAAATGATAGAGGCTCATTTTCAACATGAAAATAGAAGAAAAATAATGTGGTTTTTGTCTTGCAAGATTGGCTCTCGTCTCTGCCCATGCCACAGGCAAGAGCCCACCTCCATCCATCAGTAAAGCAGTTTGCCTCCTTGCACACAACTCCAGGCATCTGCAGTCTGAATGATGGCATTGTGAGAAACAGCAATATTTATAACATCTTCCTAGACTGTGGAAGAGCATCAGCATTTCATGCAAACATAACATCCTAGAAAGCTATTTGATTGGCAGCTTGGGCTTCGCTTTCTGCATTTACACTCCTCACTTATAAAAGATGTCAGCTGTCCATAGGCAACATAGGCAACTTTAGTTTTGGCACCTCATATCTTCTGAATGGTTTTCCATTCCACCAATGTTCTGTCAAAATGATTTATTCATGTGGGGCATTAGCAGCCAGACTGCATTGTTGGACCTTTTTCTCCTCTATTCGAAGGAGGACAGGAGGTTTGTACTACTGCTTCTGCAAACTAATTTTTTTTTGTCTTTTTCAGTATGACAGTTACTGCATTCATTAATTATCATATCAAATTGCTAACAAAGAACAAATGAGTGTGAAGGAGTATATCTGTACTGTGCATGAAAGGAAAAATGTTTGAATTGCTTTCAGAAGTCAGAAGATGCAAAATTAGAACAAAGAGCTAGTGGACTTCAGATGAAATATACTGTGGGCTTGAAGGAAATCAATTGAGATTGTGTTTTCCGTGGTGTACAGTAAAGCTGTGTAACTGCTGCAGAGTTGCTGTGGCTTCTA